TCGACTGGGAGAGAGAGGGGCTAAGAAGTCACATGATTTAAGTAATCAGGAGTTTTCATGTTCCTGAAAAAGTGGGGTAGAAGGCCCAGCTGTACCTGAATCAATAATATGATGTTGGGGCTGGCAGGTGGCATGGTGGTTAAAGGCTGAGTATGGTTCAAGTCCTGGACCTGGAGGCTTGCTTTCTCACTTTCCTTCTCTTTCTCTTTCTCTCTCTCATACTGTCCCTCTCTGGTCAAATTAAAATAAATAAATAAAGTTAAATACAATAATTCTTTAAAAATAAAGAAATAAATAACATGGATGCCTGGCACAGCCGTGGTGGTGCTCACTGCTAAGGTGCTACTGGTTGGACCTGAGGCCACATGGGAGGCCCTGGTCTGATATTCAGGTCCTGCACAACGGCTTGAGCCTATAGTCCTAGTCAACTAGGAGGCTGGGCCAGGAGGATTGTGACATGCTCAGACCCTGTCAAAAATCAACCTTTTTTTTTTCTCACTTTAGAAAACAATAAAAAACATTTTTTAATTAAAGAGCTATCAGTATGGACTACTGTCCATGTTAAGGAATGGTGGTACCCCACCCCAAAATCAAGAGATGTTCATTATAGGCCTGATGCGTGGTATGGCCGTTAAGAGGGCCAGACCTCATATGGGTGACTGTGATTTGGATCCCGGCCCTGCTGACTTGAAAAACAGGTACGAGTGTGTGTGTGTGTGCGCGCGCGCGCCCCAAAGTCTGACAACATGGAGAAATGGAGACTGTGATCATGTCCCATAGGTGGGGGGGAGCGTGCTTCCCCCTTTCCCTCTGTCTCTCTTTGGCAAACACAGGCTCCTTCTGGAGATTGAGAGAGAGAGAGAGTCATTAAACATATGATCCTATTCTGTGTCTTTTTTTTTTTTTTTTTCGGAGAGGTTTGTGCTATAGGGCGCGTGTGCTCGCCAGACAGAGAGAGACAGAGAGACAGAAAGCGAGAAATCACCGCCTGGGGGGATGGTCATACTGCAATCCCTTCTCCTCCAGTCTCCTCTAGGAATCTTGGGCACGCACGCACACGCGCCCGGTGTGAGTTTTAAGCCACTGGGTCTGGGACACGAACCGCGGTCGACTACGTGGGAGTCCAGCGACATAGCCATTACGCTAACTGCTGGTTCCCCCTATTCTGTGTCTTTATCAAGAAATTCTGGTACCAGCCAGCTCTGTGGTGCAGTGAGAGCGTGCTGTGTAGGAGTAGCTGGATCTCATGTGGGGTAAGAGTAGTTCAAATCCCTGGCCCAGTCAGCCTGAAGCATACCAGGTGCACATGTGAGTGCCCAAAATCTAAAAGGCTGGAGGCCTGGTGGGAGGAAAGTTTAGCATAACCGGACCTGAAGGTGTTTGTGCATGTATGTGCTCTAGCATGAATAAAGAAAATTTTTAAAATGTTTTATAGGTCCCTTATGTGGTTCTGGAATCTAGACAAGAGTTTATTTACTTATTTTAAAAATTTGCTATAGGGCATGTGTGGTTATCAGGCGGGGAGAGAGAGAGAGAGAGAGAGAGAGAAAGCACCCCCCCAGTAGTGATGTCCACAATGTAATCCCTTCTCTTCCATTCTCCTCTTGGAATTTTGGGCACCCATGCACACACGCACAGAATGTTATTCAAGTTTCCAAGTCTGGAACTCAAAACACACATAAATCAATAAATCTGACCGTGTGAAATCCAGCTGCCTCAACCACTGTGCCATTGGCTGGCCCAGATTTACATAAGTTTATTTATTTATTTTTAGAAGTTTTTGCCTTAGGACATGCACTCAACAGAAAGAGGGAGACAAAAACAGTGAGAGGGAAAATGAGAAATCATCCCCCAGAGGAGATGGCCACGCTGCAATCCCTTCTCCTCCATTCTCTTTCCAGGATCCTGGGCACGTACACACATGTCTGGCATGCTTTTCAAGCCACTGGGTCTGGGACTTCAACTGTGGTCAGTCATGCGGGAGTCTAGCAACGTAATCACTACTACGTCATCTGTTGGCCCAGATTTACATAAACATATTATTTTTTAAATAATTATTTATTTAATTCCATTTTTTTTTTTTTTTGAGAGGTTTTTGCTATAGGGCGCGTGTGCTCACCAGAAAGAGAGAAACATAGAGGCAGAAAGGGAGAAATCTGGGGCCGGCAGGTGGCATGGTGGTTAAGGATGCTGAACTCCAAAATGGCTGACCATGGTTCAAGTCCCGGACCTGGTGGCTTGCTTTCTCACTCCCGCCACCCCTCTGGTCAAATAATAAATAAATAAAGTTAAATAAAATAATTTTTAAAAAAAAGGGAGAAATCACCCCTCACCCTCCGGGGGGATAGCCATGCCGCAATCCCTTCTCCTCCTTTCTCCTCTCAGGATCTTGGGCACACACGCCCGGCGTGAATTTAAGCCACCGGGTCCGGGACTCGAACCACAGCCGACTACATGGGAGTCCAGCGACATAGCCATTACGCCAACAGCTGATTGCCCATTTGACATTATTTTTTAATTTGACCAGACAGAGACAGAGAGAGAGAGAAAGGGAAAGTGAGAAATCAAGTCACCAGGTCCATGAAACGAACTACGGTCAGCCATGTAGGAGTCCAGTGCCCCTACCGACCATGCCACTTGCCACCCCCCCCCAGATTTATATAGCTTTAAAATAACATTAAAATACTCCATAACAGGACCAGCTGGTGGCATGGTGGTTAAGGCACTGGACACTGACATGACTGGCAACGGTTCAAGCCCCAGACACTGTCATTTGAAAATCACACTGAGCACATCTGCGTGCATGTCCAACATCCCCATCCTGGGAGGAGAATAGGGGGGTTAAGGTGTCTGGATCTCACATGGCTGACTGAGTGGTTTCAGTCCTGAAACTGGCAGCTGGAAAAACAGGCCGGTCGCACACATGTGCACCCAAGTGTGGGTGCCCAGAATCCCGAGAGGAAAATGGAAGAGGAGGGATTGCAGCATGATTCACACACACACATACACCCGTCTGTCTCCAGCAAGTGCACACGCTATAGCAAACTAAAAAAAAAAAAAAAAAAAAAAAAAAAAAAAAAAAAACATTAAAAGAGAAAAGAAAATGTTCTACATAAGATACATGCCTTATTAGCATTACACACAGAAGCAGAAAAACAATGGGAAAGAATGGGATAATGAGATTGGGAAAAGAACATTTAAATAAGCCAATAATTGAGCAGTAATTGTGTCAAGTGATTAATAACATATATCATTTCTTTCAACTAAACTTAAATAATTAAACAAATCTGTATCAATCGCCTACTGTGTCATTTCCAAGCCCCGTGGGTGCAGACATGACCACAACAGACAAAGGCTGACAAACAGAACGGCATACAACAACTCTGTAAGGCTGGTGTTTATATCCCATTTTACGGAGAGGAAACTAATCCTGAGAAAAATGAAAGAATTCTTAAGACAGTCCAGTACTAACTGGCAGCGGAGACTATAAATCCAGGACTAACTAACTGATTTCAGAGCCATTGTTTTGATAGAAGAAAATGAAATTAAAAAGCAAAGCTTCCCTAGAGGAGAAGGGTCTAATAAAGGCCAAAGTAAGTGAGCTAGGAGAGAAAAAAATTCTACAGGGCAAAGAAATGAAAAGTTTTGCTAGAATTCCGACTCAAAAGGTGGGGACGGCACAGGCCTGCCTGTTCCTGCTTCCCCTCTTCCCTTAGGGTATGAAATCCCTATTTTATCGTGAGAAAACTAAGGCCCAGAGCTACTGAATCTTTCGATTTTTTCCTGTATGTATGACTCTTTTAGAGTCACAATATGAAAGATTAAAAAAAAAAATCTGGGCGAGATCAAACATAGTAATTGGCATACGTTTCGGCTAAGAGGGAATAAATGATTGAAAAATACCAGGTTATTTTTTCTTCTTTTCTTTAAAGCAGAGACTACATTTTAACAACGTTAGACCAGAATGAAAGGGGGTTTGGGTGTATATAAACTTGCAGGCAGGAGACAGCCTCCCCAAACTGAGCGGTTCCGGAGAGGGAGATCATGTTTTTCTTGTAACACAACTGCAGAATTTCTTCCCCAACGGTTTCATTCTTATGACTCTGAGTCCCTTGGGAGATTGGCTGAGATAAGGACAAGGAGACATCCAAAAGTTCGTGGAAGATGGAATTCAAGAACAGATATATTTTAGTGCAAACATTTGTAAAATCCACGCGTAGTTTTTTCATAATGCGCATTTTTCCACGAACGTTTTGAAGCGTCTTCTCCCCTATCGGCACAGCAGCCTTTTTGCTGTACAGGGTCAGGGCTTCGCTAAAGGCCGGAGAAGCCCTTCCTGGTATTTGCTTGGGGGCCCAGAATTCAAACTCCGTCTTACTCAGAAACTTCCCTTTCCTGTTATTTACTAAAGGTGTTAATTGCCCGACGGCCCGACCGGTGCCAAGTCCTGCGGTTCGGAGGGAAGGCGGGAAAGCAGCCAGAGTTGGGTAAACTTTCCCGGGCCAGGCCTATTCCTTAACGTGGGGCCCGGGCGGCCATAGTGGGCGCAGGGTGGTTCACAAACGTCGCGGCGACCTCGGGGGCCCCTCCGACCACGCCGGGAGACGCGGCGTTCTCAGCCCCAGCCTAACTGATCACAAGACGGATCCAGCTAACGACTTCATCCGATAACTTAACCTAGGAGCCAGCGGCTCTACTACTGTGTGAGAGTGACCGCCAGGAGGTTGCTTATTAAACCGCAGCCGATTTAGAGGTGACGAAGGTGGGGTCTGTGGGCAACGCGGGGGTCCCCAGAAGGGAATCCGCACGCGATCGAGACTCGGTTTTGCGGTGACGAGCGCGCGCCAGCGCACGTCTCCACCCACCTGGCGGCCAGGCCGAGCGCGCTCCCAGCAACCGTGGCTCTAACTGCGTTTGTAGCCGTTACGTCACGGCCATCGCCTCCTCTCATTGGGCGAGATCGTCCAATCATGTGACTCCCAGTGTGGCGTATAAATAAAGGCGAGGAGAAGGCGGTGATCCGCCATTTCGTGGACGCCGGGGGAGCGAGAGCATCTGTGGGAGCTGGGTGAAGGGAGCGGGCCGTCCTATCGGATCTTGTGGATTTGGGCCTCTGCATTTCGAACTTAAGATTTCGGTGAGAGAGCAGCGACGAGGAGTAGTGGGGTGGGAAGTGGAGTTTAATCGTCCCGAGGTAGGACCAGGCCCAATGGCGGCGCCAGATTGAGACAAAGAGGCCCCGCCGCCATTTTGTGACGTTCAGCACGGGGCGGTGGCGGGGGCTCCCAGCCCTTAGCGGGATGTTTCTTGGCCTCGGAATGGCGGTGTTTGTACCCCTCATTGTGGGGTGAGCGGAGGTGGGGAATTAGCGCGGGTTGGGGCGATTAGAGGGAACCAGTAGTGGAATTGTACTCCGAGTCGCGCGGTCTTTGAATTTTTATGGCGCCTTTTTTTTTTTTTTTCCTGACCTCTCATTTTCTTAGGCAGCTTCTCAATTTATTTCCTTCAGTCCTTAAATCAATACTGGACTTTACAGTCCATATTTAATAGGTCCTGCTCTTTGTTTTTGTGTTACTTTACTAAGACTTTTAGTAGTTTGAATCACTTTTTTTAAACTCGATGGTCTCCCTTGGTGTTACGCTGCATTGTTCTTGGCAGCTGCTTCCGGTTCCCAGACCCGAAACCGCTCATAGCAGAATTAAAAAAAAAATCAGTTTCTACTGGTGGTTTAATTCCAAAACTAACTCTGGGGCACAGGGTGGAGTTACCACAAATAGGGTAAGTCTGGACTGAGTTTTTTAAAAAATTAGTTAAGTTCAGGGTGAGGAGAACGTGTTTGTATAAAGCCCTTCAGTTTAATCTTTGGAGGAGGTTACTTTTTTGTAAATGCGGAAGTAGTCTACAGTACATTGCTGTAGTAACTTGATCGAAGGTTTGTCGAGCGTAAGCCCCCAAGAACAGTAAACTCCTAACATCCGTTTTCATATTTAACTTTATTATGCAAGTGAGATTCACATGAGTTGTATTTTAACGTGTACAGTTGAGCGATCTTTGGTATAGGCAGTGTTGGGCAACTTGCACCTCTATAATAATATTTGATCACCCTCCTCCCCGGGAGATCCATTAAGCAGTCACCCCCATTCCCTTACACACACACACACACCCCGCTTTGCTCTTCAGCCCTGACAACCACTGTCTCAGGGGTTACCTGTTTTTGATGTTTGTTCATCTACATAAATCACGTGATGTATTTTCTCTGTCTAGCTTCCTTAGCAGTTTCTAGGCTTTTTCTGTGCTGTAGGAAATGTTAGCATGTAGGGTATGTTAGCACTTCATTCCTGAATAATACTCCTGGTATGACAGCACATTTAATTCATCTATTATCTGTCGGTGGACATTTGGGGGAGCTAACACCTCTTGGCTCTATAGTAAAATGTCTTCTGTGAACTCAGTTTTTAGTAGTAGGACGCTTGGTCCTACTACTAGAATTTTTTCTTTTCTGCTTGAGGAATTTTTTTTTTTACTAAGACATTTGATCTCTTTAATGACATGACACTACCTTTTTCCTTTAGAGAAGGAAAAGTTTCTGTAGGCTTTTGAAATGATGTTTTTGACCTAATTTTGTGAAAGCCAGTTAAGTTTTGGCTTAGGAAGGCACTTTTTCATCCCTTGGTTTACTGTCTGAAATTGGTGTTCTTCAGTGTTGTTCATTTCGGTTTTGAGTCCCTCAGAATTTGTTTTGGAAAGAGATGGTCCAACTTGTCTGATTGTCTATCTTGGAGAGTAAATGAAATAACAGAAGTCTTTAATTTTGTTCTAAGGATGTGTGCTTTTAACTTCAGGTTGTCAGGATAAGCTATGAATTTTTATTTTTTGTTATTACAGAAATGCATCGTGACTCCTGTCCATTGGACTGTAAGGTTTATGTGGGTAATCTTGGAAACAACGGCAACAAGACTGAATTGGAACGGGCTTTTGGCTATTATGGACCACTCCGAAGTGTGTGGGTTGCTAGAAACCCTCCCGGCTTTGCTTTTGTTGAATTTGAAGATCCCCGAGATGCAGCTGATGCTGTCCGAGAGTTAGATGGAAGGTAAGTCATTTAGTTTGTATAGTGAGTGAATGTGTTGCCCAGATTTTTTAAAAAAAGAATTTAACTCTATTGGTTGTTTTAAATTTGACCAGAGAGGGACAGAGAGAAAGCCACCAGGTCCAGCATTCCAACCACGGTCGGCCATGTGGGAGTCCATCACCCTTAACCACTATACCTCCAGCCATCCTCCCCTTTAAAATAAGCTAGAAGGCTTTTAGATGACATTTTGGTCTTAAGTAATGGGATCAGATACTCTTTAAGTATGGCTATGAACTGTTAAATGTTTGACGATTGTTTACAAGATGCTATTTACGTGGGTTTATTGTACTGTTTTGTATATTTGGAATAACTTCAGGAAGTGTGAACTGGTTGCCACTTATGTGTATTAACAGTGTCCTGGTGGCTGGCAAATGATAATACACTGGAGTCTTAGAGGAGCAGGTGTTGTCCCCCTCCTGGCATTTGAAAATACTAAGAGTTCATCATACTTAGGAAAACTATTAATCCTTCAAATTAAAAACAAAAAAAAAACCAGTTCTCTAGAGTTTGTCCTGGAGCAAATCATAGTTCCTTAAATGGGACCCTTAACCTGTATTGTGAACAAAAGGGTCTGAGGGTTGACGGTAAAGCCTTAGAAGGGTTTATGCAAGCAGATCGTAGGGAAACGAAGTTTTTGAGGGCTTGCCTCTACCCCAGCCACTGTCCCGATCAATAATGGTGGTCTAGCTAACGTTAATGACTGAATTTTATGAAAGGGAAAGTAACCCCTGTATTCTGTTCTCAGTGGTAATTATTCTTATGTGCCAACTACTGTGGAATGGAGGGGAGAGAGAGATGTAAAATTGGCACAAGGGAATTTTATCTTGGGATAAAGGTAGAGCAGAGGGGAAGGACAGACCAATGAGTAACAACAGCCTAATAATTGATAATAGCTTGGGACCTCCAAGGAAGGAGTCACAGTAGGGGTATGGGAGAAGACAAAAGTAAACCCAGGGGTTTTCATACTTAAATTGCAATTGTTAATGAATTAATGTTGAGCCCAGTAATTGGACTAACGAGCAATAAAATAGTTTTGACTTTCCTGCTTGTGAATTGATACTTTAAAAATTCTACTTCAGGGGCCAGCAGGTGGCATTGTGGTTAGGGTGTTGGACTCCCACATGGCTGATTACTGGAGTCCTGAACCTGGTGACACTTGCTTCTGAGCACACATGCTCTATAGCAAAATTTAAAATAATAATGAAATTAAGTAATTCTTTAGGGGCGAAAATCCTATTTCATATTTATATAAAAGCAAACAGCACAACCATTTTATAAGGAAAAACAAGAATTAAAACTGGTTTTGTTATTAAAAGTATTCTACATGCTTTCAGGTGTGTGTGTTGTTTTTTTCTTTTTTTTTTTCAAAGTTTATTGGGAGTATTTGGGCATTAGTATACATCTCAGAAAGTTGGGCTGTTCTAAATTTATATCTTTTCCCTATATAGAACATTGTGTGGCTGCCGTGTGAGAGTGGAACTGTCGAATGGTGAAAAAAGAAGTCGAAATCGTGGCCCACCTCCCTCTTGGGGTCGTCGCCCTCGGGATGATTACCGGAGAAGGAGTCCTCCACCACGCCGCAGGTACTTGAGAGCCAGCGTGTTTAGAGGTATTGATGTAATGGAGTAGCTAGTAGGAACAGGTATTTCTTTTAAAGTTTGTTGGTGGGTTTTAAATTTATTGAGAAAAATCTGAGGTTTTTATGAAGTATTTGCCGGGTGTAGATTGGGGTATGTGAGTTGTGCTGAGTGTTGGCTTTGTCTTTAGGTCACTGTCCATGTTGGTAGTCAGTAGCTTCTGTCTTGGATCTATCTTCTAGTTCATCTTCTAGTTGCATCTTTTCAAGTCTTCCCCTTCAGTTTAGGCCTTTTCCCATTTCTTGTCTCCATAATGCAAACAATACATTCAACTCTAGCTCTTCACAAAAATGTGTTTTCTAGTGCTAGCACAGTTGTAATTATCAAACAGGCAGCTGTTTTAATGTTACAAATGGTAAAGTAGAAATCATTCTGAAGCTAAATTCACTGACCAATAAAGGGGGCTAAAAAAGAAGTAATCCCAGTCATCTGTTCTTCAGTCGCAAATAGGAGAGAATTCAGTTTTTTTATAATTGAAAATGGCATCATTCTTGGACCAGGCAGTATTGTCTGGATGCTAACTCCACATCTCCTCAAACCTCCACAATAATTTCTATAGGACTGAATTTACCTCTTATAGGTGGGTGAAGTCCTTGGAGAAAGGAGTTCAAAATCTTGCCCCTTTTGCTATTTTGAAAAACAACACACTGTTGCCCATCTTAATAAAGAGTATTTGTTAGTTAATAGATGGTTGTACTGATGGCTTGTTTTTTTTTTTTCATTTTTTTTTGTGCTTTTTGGTCCATCTATTAATAAAAATGAACCCCGTTACAGAGTCACCATCATGTCTCTTCTCACCACCCTCTGAATCTGCATTAGCCAGTCAACTAGCCCTTTCAGCGTCATGTGACCAGCGCGCCCCATTCAGCTTGGCTGGTGTCGTTTCACATGACCCAGGCTGGCCAGTCGTCAGGTTGCACCGCCCTTTGGTTCCCGAGCATGCTGTTTTCTCTCAGCCTTCTCTCCAACCTTAACCAAATCGGCAGCAGCCACCTCGACCGCCCACACATTCCTGGCCAATCAGCTCAGCTGTTTATTTACCAAATGTCTTCACAACAACTACAGCAGCAGCCTTCGGCTAACAAAAAAGCAGGAAAAATCCACAACACCCCCTTCGCCAACCAACTAAATCCAACGCAACATCTGGCAAAACCTTTTCAGCAAATTCTTCCTGGCCGTCAGTCCGGCAGCCTCACCTCACCATTTCTAGCTTGTTGAAACCCAAAACTAGTAAGTTTTTCCTGCTTATACAGTTTACTGCTGGTTAAAATAAGGAGTAAGCGGCTTAAAGTAATTCTTTTTTCTGGATCAAAGGCTGGCTGTGCATAATTGAATGGTAACGTACATATATATTGCTTGGAAAAAAACTTTTAAGGGTGATAGGGAACTCATAATGTAACTAGATCTTCAAGTAAAACTTATTTGCATGTGTGAGATGCCAAACTAAAAAATTTTAATATCTCTAACAGATTCAGCTTTTCTTTCCTAGCAAAAATTTTGTTGAATCCTATCACCTTTAAATGGTTTTACTAACAGTTTTCAGAACTTTAAAATTTTGGGGGTGAAGCGTGGGCCAAGCTAAGGTAATTTTGGTAAGCCTAAACACACTCTTATATGTGACGATCACAAATGCAGTTCTAATGTAGCACTTAATGGCATCAATATTTACACCTAGCGCGTTTTCACAAAATTACACTGTCCACCTGGTACCTAATAAGTCTTGTCATGGACTTACAGGTTTGCATGGGTTCCAAATACTGGTTTATGGTACTGTTTTTGGAACTACTTGGGATATTTTGGTGTGGTGTTTGGGTAGTGAAGTTAGTTTGACATGAAGTTTTGCATTGTACAGATCTGCTGTGAAGCATTCTTTGTTAAAGTGAGTCCATGGTTGGAATACCTGCTTTTCACTTGAGCTTTTGGTTCCTTAATCCTTCTGTGCCTTTTTTTTCTTTTCTGTTTTTTTTTTTTTTTGGACGATGGGTGCCAGTTCTTCGGCACATTCACTGGGCCCAACAGTGAGAATGAAAAGTTGGGAAATGCCTCACGCCATAAATACTAATTGATGATTAGCCTAATTTTCCTGTTTCTGCTTTTAGATCTCCAAGAAGGAGAAGCTTCTCTCGTAGCCGGAGCAGGTAAATAAGTTTTTGGGATACTTTCTCAGATGGAGTGTTTCTGCTCTTCATAACCTGTTTTCAGATGACTTACTAATGGGAGAATAGTCCTTGGCTTTAGTAGTGAATCAAGCCATTGTAATCTGACTTTCAGTTTTCAAAGACTTCGTAGAAAATAATACAACTGTAATTATCATGCCTGCGTGGCCCTAATGTTGTTCTCTGATTTAGGTCCCTTTCCAGAGATAGGAGAAGAGAGAGATCATTGTCTCGGGAAAGAAATCACAAGCCGTCCCGATCTTTCTCTAGGTCTCGTAGGTAAGCTCTGTAATGACTTGAGTCCTTATAATACCTTGCATATGTATTATGCTAAAGTCTTCACTAAACCATAACTCTCACCCTAAAAATTTGTTTTTGGTGATGTTACATCACTGTCTACAAGTTATAGAGGTAAAATTTGTTTTCTTTTTTTAGCCGATCTAGGTCAAATGAAAGGAAATAGAAGACCAGTTTGCAAGAGAAGTGCTGTACAGGAAATAACTTCATTTGACAGGAGTATGTACAGAAAATTCAAGTTTTGTTTGAGACTTCATGAGCTTGGTGCATTTTTAAGATGTTCAGCTGTTCACATTTGTTTGTCTCTTTAAGCAATGACACATAAAGATGTAATTCTCTATGATTTGAAATGGATCATATGAGGCATGTAATACCAAGAATTGTTACTTTACAATGTTCCCTTAAGCATAATTACATTTGTTTTGAACTTTAGTCTTGTATATAGACTGATAATAAACCTTTAAATCCTGCCCAATTAAAGTGTGGTATTTTAATACAGAAACAACTGGCAGAAAGTGAATTGAGATACACATTTTTCCTATAATTGGGCTCTAGTTGAGCAGACAGTCTTGTAAAGTTGCCATGAACAAAAGCCAGTAAAAAATACGAGATGCACCATTAAACGAGGTTTTTGAAAAAATTCAACTGGTCTTCACCCTGGGCGGAGGTTGCCTAGTTGATACAGAATCTGTTTCAAAAAGTTTTATCTTGAGATCTTTAAATGATATATATGAACACATTGCTGTAACGTTCTTTACTGAAATTCGAATTTTCAAAATACCAGTGTCCTGCCAACTTAAGGGTACATTGTAGAGCCGAACTTTGAGTTACTGTGCAAGTTTTTTTTTTCCATGCTGTCAATTGTAATATGTTTTGTGAAAATCCTTGGGATTAAAGTTTTGGTTACAAATTGTTGTTTAACTTGGAAGCCTGTTTTCCTTGCAAACTCAAATCTGTGAGCTTGATACCAAGTCCAGGTATATAACATTCCTATCGGAAGCCATACTTATATTTTCTTGTAAAGTGCTTTTGAATTAATAAAATATTAGCATAATTGTGTAATAGTCAGTTGAACCCACTGTTAACCATTGTTCTTATCCCATGGAAGGCAGTTGGTTTTACAGTTCTTGTTTTCTAAGAAACACAAATCAGGCACTATGGATTAGTCTTTTGAGGAGAAGGGAATAATTTGGTTGTTACCTAGGTAATTGTTAATAAGTTACATTTTTATAGGAGTAGAAGCCAGTTCAGGGTCCATGTGCTTAGTGACCATTTTAATTAAAATGCAGCAGCAACCTGGTACATTGTAACCCAAAAGTAAACTGCCATTAAAAAATGGCTTTTATCTTTAGCATGAAAACTTTCCACAAAGTTTTAAAAATTGCTTCCATCTTATAATTTGAGATGTTGCATGGAGAATTCTAAATTGATCCATCATGATGTAAAATTCACAATATGGTTCAAATGTAATAGTGCAGAATTGAATATGGAGGCATGCATAATCTTCCTCTTAGAAGTTGGGAAAGTTGTAATTCAAACTTTTGTGCAATTAGATTAAATCATAATGTAACAGTTTTGTGGCTTAGTTTCCTTAAATGTAATGTGCTCTGACCCCTTGTACTGACTTTCTAATATGAAAGAAGTCATTGCTTTAAGAATTCAATCTTGGTGTTAAGATGATTAGAGATAATAATTTGTTTTATACAAATTATTTCCAGTTCACACAAATCACAGGGGAGGGTAGAGATAGTACCTGTCAGGAAGGTTTTATATGAACTTTAAATAGGCACATGTGCTAGGAAGACATTTTCTGGACTAATGGTTTTGCTAGGAAATCTGGTTTGGGTCCTCTGACATTTTTCCATGGCATAAAGCCTGTTCGTGTTAGGAATAAGCCAAGACATTAGAAAGTTAAGGTAATGTTATATCAGGTATACTTATCAGATGGACACTTCAGTGAACTTTTTTTAGCAATGTATAGCTTGCAGCACCTTAAATTTCAAAAGTTAATTGATTATGGGTGAAACGTGGCTAATGCAGAATCTGAACCTTGACATCAAGGGATTGTCTTTACTTCCATGTTTACAGTCTTCGACCAGAAGCCCTAGCATAATTTTATGGCTTGTAGTAGAGAAATGCAGAATATAGAAATAATTGAAACCGTAAATTGCACATTTAGATTGTAGCTATTTGGAAATTGTAAAAAAGCTCCTGTGGTTTCTAAAAGTACGGGTCACAGCCACAACCAATCTTGTTCATCCGAGTTGTGTGTAATGCTGAAAGGCACAAACAAAAACCAGTGTAATCTGTGGTGTAATAACTATAGGTATTAGCTATTAACAATGCAAGAAGGTGCATAAGTTTGTGGAAGTAGGGTATGGGTTTATTGTACAAAACTGAAATCCATCCACAGTTTTTCATAATACATCTTCCATGTACTTGTTGAAGCACCCTGGTACTTCTGTGATACTTTCAAGTAAACATCTAAGGGTTACAGTTGAGTTTTATGCTTATAAGAATATTTCATCTGTGGTTCTCGGTTCATTTTGGGTTGCTTGTGACTCAACGTAAGCAGAAGTTTGGAAAGAAATTTACCAGAGAAGTTTTAGTTTTATAAGATGTAGATATTTACTGTTTATGTATTTGAGATAAAGATCCTCATGAAGGTCACATAGTCTGTTGGTGTCTTTACCCTATTAGACTGCAGTAAGTAATTCACATTCAAGCTCTTATCTGAGAAATCCTGGTTTCTTTTTAATACATACACTTTGATATAGACATGATACTTTTCAGTACTACTCAATCAGGAATGGTTATTTTTTAGAATTGTCTGGAAAAAAAGCCTGACTACAGGTTTATTGATTTAGTTTTCCAGGGTAATTTAGCCCTGGGTAATTCAGAAGACTTGGTGATTACATAAGAACCATTGGTTTAGCATTTTGTTGAAGGGTGTTTCCTTTCTTTAAGTTGGCTATTTAGCTTTGCTGTAGGGTGCTTGTGCTTTCCAGAGAAAGTGAGAAAGCACTTCTGGGGTTGGGGGGGAGATTACCATGCCACAATCCCTTCTCCATTCTTCGGGAGTATGCTTGTATGTAATGCCTTTAAGCCACAGTGCACCCTGGGATTAGCCATGTGGGATCTAGTTGCCTTAACTCGTTTCTGGCTGGCCCCAAAGTGTGCTTTATATTTTTTTAAAAATTGTTTTTTTTAATTTTTGCTGTAGGACATGTGCAGAGTCACAAGAAAGGGA